TGTCTCGGAGGTGGAGGTGCGAGCGACGGGTGTCTTGGAGGTGGTAGCGACGACTGTCTCAGGGAGGGGTGTCTCGGAGGTGGAGGTGCGAGCGACGGGTGTCTCGAAGGGGGGATTGGGGACGACTGTCTCGAATATGGAGGGGTTGGCGGCGGCTGTCTCGGAGGTGGGAGTAGAGGAACGCTGTCTCTTACGGGAGGGGGTGGGGGAATGCTGGCTATCATGGGAGGTGGAGGTGGAGGGGGAATCGACGACTGTCTCGATTATTATGGGATTGGCAGCTGTCTCCAAGATGGAGGGGTTGGCGGCGGCTGTCTCGGAGATGAGAGTGGAGGAACGCTGTCTCTTACGGGAGTGGGTGGGGGAATGCTGGCTCTTATGGGAGGTGGAGGTGGAACGCTGTCTCTTACGGGAGGGGGTGGCGGAACGCTCTCTCGTTGAGTTGACGGCTGGCTCGGACTGGGGAGGGGGCTGTCCCAGATGGGGGTGCGACAGATTGGCCAACTCCTGTCGAATAATAGTCGGCACCTCCCGTAGAATGATTGCCGACACCTCAGAGGATATTCTGGCTATAACATTAGCCATTTCAGCCCGTATGCACGCGCGAACATCCTCAATAAAGGCCGACCCATCTGTTGGCCTCGCCTCCTCCCGGTGCATACGGCGATTGGCCGGGTTAACCCGTCGCAAAGATCGAGGCCCCTGAACATTCAAGTTCGAGAGGTCCAACACGCCAATCTCATCCTCATTCAGCGGCAGTGTCTCAATCACCTCCAACTAAATTTAAAAAAATAGAACATAAAAATAAAGAAATCATCAGAAATCGTTAAGACTTAAAAAATAATTTCGGATATCACTTGCTAACCATTCCAATAGTAATAATAAAAAAATGATTAAGATCAAATAATACCTGTTGGTCAAAAAATGTATTTGGAAGTGTGACCTTCTTCAGTTCCAGTGAACCAGCCGTGGTGGACGTCTCACCAAGGTATATGCTCCACATGCACGACCTAATGCAGGGAT